CCAGAAGTCCTTTGTCAAAGGATATTATGTTAGTTCAATAACTGTATAAATATCAGTAAGAAAGTGACAAGGATAAGGTTTAGCATGAAATTGGAGCCTCATCGTGTAACTTAGGAAAGTAAAGGCGCACAGTGATGTTTAAAAAAATATTCAAAGACCCAGTAGCATGTGTCCAGGAAGACTGGCTGCTGCTGGGTGCTCACAGGATCTAGGCTCTTACATATAGCCTGTAAAGATGGCTTGGAATAATTCCTCCTCTTTCTCAAAGAGGCAGAGGCTCCAACATTTTGGAGAGGTCGCAGTGGTGGTCGTGACTCCCACCGTGTGGGAGAGAATACATTTTACCTGCCCTCCAAAGAATGAGTTAGAGCCTGTGGTGCCAATGCTGGCCAAATTCGAGTTCCTGAGACAGAGAGATCAGGAGGAGCCTGAGAATCTCACCTCAAACCATTTGCCCGAGGTCTTGACAGTGGAGGGTTTGCATGGCCCTTTCCCTTCTCCATGCCCTGGATGTGCCCGGAGGTGCTGCAGGCAGTATTGGTTGCTTGAGCTGATGACTCATATGTCTTAAAGTCTCCAAGTCATTTTTTATGGGGACACAGAAATTCCTGCTCAATAGCTGCCCTATGTTCATTGATTTCTTTGTTTGTTGTTTCCCTAAGAGATGCCAGTTTGGCAACACCCAAGGCTGCCTCTCCTCTGATTCAGATCTTGGAGACTTTCATCCATAACCACACAAAGCCCCAGGGCAGTTTTTTTGTGCTTCCCGCATTTAGTGTAATTCGGTGGATAAACTTGCTAAGCCACCTGATTTGAATAAAGTCCATTATTCCTCCTGGAAGAGCTCAGGATGGGGTCAATACCAATGGGAGCCAACTCTCCAGCCTCCTCACCCACTCAGATACCTCAAGGAAGAATGAAATTAGTAGAAGGAACAGAGCAAAGTGGATGAGAATAGAATTTAAGAGGTTGTTGTGCTTGCTAGGATGGTGGCCAAATAGGGTGACTTTGGAACATCACGTAAACCCCTTAATAACCTTCCTCCACAGTATCTAGAACAGGGTTGGGCAATGCGGTTTCTTCCCATATTTTTACTTTAAGCAGAATACTTAATATATATTGGCACAGCTCTGATGTTTGAATGCTAATCATTATGCAGAAATGTTTCAATGCACACACCACTCACATTTGCATTTACTTTCTTTTGCTGCATTTTTATACCTAGGATAAACCTGGTTTAATATTCCATTAAATTTTTTTTAAACCACTGTAACTTTGTTTAATTTGGTTGCTGAAAAAGTTCTACTTTGGTATAATCTTGTGTTTGTAACCAAGATCGCTTTTAAGAAGGCACATTCTTATCAGAGATAATTTGGAAAAGCTGCAGGTTGTTCACTGTTTGGTACTATAGTAATGATTATCTTGAACTTACATTTTAGGGTCCTCCTTGTTTCACTTAGCATGCATCCTAAGTGTTGTCTATATTGTTACATAATCACGTGGTTTTCTTTTATTTATTTATTTTTATTATACTTTAAGTTCTAGGGTACATGTGCACAACCTGCAGGTTTGTTACATATGTATACATGTGCCATGTTGGTGTGCTGCACTCATTAACTCGTCATTTATAGTAGGTATCTCTCCTAATGCAATCCCTCCTCCCTCCCTCCACCCCATGACAGGCCCCAGTGTGTAATGTTCCCCTTCCTGTGTCCAAGTGTTCTCATTGTTCAATTCCCACCTATGAGTGAGAACACGCGGTGTTTGGTTTTCTGTCCTTGCGATAGTTTGCTCAGAATGATGGTTTCCAGCTTCATCCATGTCCCTACAAAGGACATGAACTCATCCTTTTTTATAGGCTGCATAGTATTCCATGGTGTATATGTGCCATATTTTCTTAATCCAGTCTGTCATTGACGGACATTTGGGTTGGTTCCAAGTCTTTGCTATTGTGAAGAGTGCCACAATAAACATACATGTGCATGTGTCTTTATAGCAGCATGATTTATAATCCTTTGGGTGTATACCCAGTAATGGGATGGCTGGGTCAAATGGTATTTCTAGTTCTAGATCCTTGAGGAATTGCCACACTGTCTTCCACAATGGCTGAACTAGTTTACAGTCCCACCAACATTGTAAAAGTGTTCCTATTTCTCCACATCCTCTCCAGCACCTGTGGTTTCCTGACTTTTTAATGATTGCCATTCTAACTGGTGTGAGATGGTATCTCATTGTGGTTTTGATTTGCATTTCTCTGATGGCCAGTGATGATGAGCATTTTTCATGTGTCTGTTGGCTGCGTAAATGTCTTCTTTTGAGAAGTGTCTGTTCATATCCTTCACCCACTTTTTGATAGGGTTGTTTGTTTTTTTCTTGTAAATTTGTTTGAGTTCTTTGTAGGTTCTGGATATTAGCCCTTTGTCAGATGAGTAGATTGCAAACATTTTCTCCAATTCTGTAGGTTGCCTGTTCACTCTGATGGTAGTTTCTTTTGCTGTGC